GTTGTCGGCCGCTGCCTGCCGCTCTTGCTGCAGCTCTCCCCCGCCCCTACTCCCGCCGCCGCCGCGGCGCCCGCGCCCGGGTCGAGTAAGGAAACTGCGCCCGTTGGGACTCCGGGGGCCGCGGCGGGGACCGCGCGAGAGCCGCTCAGCAAGCGGCGTGGTGCGGCCGCCGTCGAGGGCGCCGCAGCCGGCACCACCAGCGGGGAGCCTGCAGTTGCAGATTCACTTGAGCCGCTGTCGGAGCTGATGGCTTCCATATTGGACGGCCTCCGGCTCGACCTGACGGTCTCCGGGCCCACCGCGGTAGCTGCCAGGCAGCTGCTTGAAGGGCAGCTGGGGCCGGCGCTGGCCGGGGAACTCGCAGCGCGCTTCAGGGCCGGCGGCGGCGGAGACGGCCGAGGAGGGGGGCCAGCAGTGCGCGTGGGCGGGCCGGCGCGGCGGCCGCGAGCGCTGAGGGCGCTGCTGCGCCTGTACGCGTCGGCTGTCAGGTGAATGGGAGCGCAGTGCAGCGGCCCCATCCCAACGGCGCACTCACATGCCCCCGCGATGCGGGCCTCGTCTCTACTCAATTGCGCCGGTGATGCTGGGCCGCGTGCGAGAGCCGAGGGCGGTTGATCTGGCGCTCAATTGCAGCGTACCTGATGCACAGCCCGTTTCGCCGCCCGCACCACCGCGCCCGCAGGTTGCACGCGGCGTGCTGCTCCCTGAACCCTGAGGTCGCCCCGCTGCCTGGCCAGGGCGCCCTACCGTCGCCAGGGTGGGGGGACGACGGCGGCTACTTCGCAGCCTGCGCCGCGGCGCCGGCGCTGTCGGCAGCGCCAGGGGGCGGCGTGGATGCGAGCGACGGCGGCCACGACGCGTCGCCGCCGCCATCGCACCAGCAGCGGCAGCAGCAGCAGCAGCAGCAGCAGCAGCAGCAGCAGCAGCAGCAGCAGATGCCTGGGATACTGGAGGTTGCCGAGGCGGCGCTCGCTGACTGTGCGGGCGGGCTTACAGATGCCGAGGCTTTGGCCGATCAGACGCCGCGGCGGGCGCGGGACCAGCTCCGGCGCGGAGGCGCAGTCGCAGCGGAGGAGGGTCTAGCGCTCGCCACGCTATGGTGCTGCATGCAGCGGCTGCAGCTGCTGCGGGAGCGCTGGCTGCGCGCGCGGCACGCGGCGGCGGCGATGAGCGTGTCTCAGGCGAAGCGGGCGAAGCGCCGGGCAGCGCTGGCCGGCGGGGGGTCGGCGGGCGCGGCCGCGGCGAGGGCGCGATGGCAGGGAGGGGTCGATGATGATGATATGGCAGAAGAACAGGAGGAGAACGAGGGGGAGGAGGAGGAGGAGGGGGAGGGGGACGAAGAAGAGGACGACGGAGAGGAGCAGGGGCGGCGTCAGGACGCGCGGCGCGGGGACGAGCGGCGGCGGCAGGGGGCGTTGCGGGCGATGGAGTCTGAGATGGCGCAGTTCTGCAGCGTGTTGCTGCGACCGCTGACAGGCGGGGCCGGCGGGCAGGGCAGCGTTGCGAGTGGCTCCATAATTGACAAGGCCGCAGGCGAGCAGGGCAGCGTTAGCGGCGGGGGGGGGGGCGGGGGCGGCGGTCATGCTCTGGCTGCAGGCGCCATGCACCTGCTTGCGCCGACAGTGCACGTCTGGGGCCCGCACTGCGCGCCCGCGGGCATGCAGACGTGGCTGGCCGCGGCGGCCGCCGCGGCGGCCGGGAATGGCGGCGGCGGCGGCGATGGGGCGGGGTTGCAGGAGGCCGCGCGCCGGGTGTTGGCGGATGAGTCGACGTTTGAGGTGGCGGCGATCAGGGACGCGTGGGCGGCCGCGCTCGCGTCGCACGCGCTGCCGCTCGTGACCGCGCTGTCGGCCGGCGACGACGAGTACCCGGGGCCGCGCGGCGCGGCACGCAGCGGGCGGGGGACAGGCGGTGGGCCCACGGGGCTGCGGGATGGCGGCCCCACGGGGGGTCTCCTGCAGCGTGCGATGGAGCAGCTATGCGGCCGGGGCGCCGCGGGCGGAGGCGGGCCTACGGACGGAGCGGCTGCTGCGGCGTTTGCGCTCGTCATGCAGCACATTAGGCAGCAGCAGCAGCAGCAGCAGCAGCAGCAGCAGCAGCAGCAGCAGCAGCATGCCGGCCGACGACCGAGGGCGGCGGCCGAGCAGCGCACGAAGGCAGGCGCGGCGGCCCCTCGTGCTGAAGCCGCGCCTGCCGCGCGGCGGCTGCTGGAGTTGTTGGGTCTCTGGCGCCGCGCGCCGCTGCGCCGCTTCGACGCCGCGCAGCGC